AAAAAAAAAAAAAGAAAATATCAAAGCCTAATTCAAATATTAATAGAGGGTCCCATTACATCTGACAAAATAAATGCCAACAGACACTGGTTTGTATATTAATAATTTGCTTTGTGTGCAATGATATTAAATAAATATGATGAATTTCACACAAAATGTAAAATAAATTGCTTTATTGTACATAGGCTATCAGGTCTATTCTGATTTTAGATACAGCTGTAAAAATATTTTTTCCTTGAACATTCTGCAATGATCAGAACACAAGCTGCTGCAACATCCACAATCCTGTGCAAAAGTCTTGAAACATTTCTTATTTCTTTATAATTTCCTTTTAAAGAAGTCAGATTCTTGTGATCTTTATCAACACCTCTCCAGTCTTCCTGAAGGTTTTTCTTTCAACCATCAATGTTTTTTAACTTCTTTCCATAAGAAAACTACAGAAAGACTGGAAGACTGTGGAATATGACCATTTGATAAGATTACAAGAAAGTCTAGTTGCTTAGAAGAAAAATATAGAAAAACTTTAGAAAGGAAGTGGGATTCATCCAAAAAAATATTTACAACAATGACTCCCTGCATAATAGGAAAAGCCTAAAGTGGAAAAAGTGGTAAAGACTGTCTCTGAGGAGTAACATGGCTGTTAAACATTGATGAATAACAAGATGTCCAAGAGGTTTTTTTTATTTTCTTGACTCAACCGGTGTATCTTGCACATAGCTGATTTGAGTCCCGTCCTCTTGTATTTCACTGCCTGCTTCTCTGTCCTACAGGACTGTTTGCGTGGAGTCAGTGGTGCTGTTTGTGTTGGGTTTCTGCTCAGTATTCACCGAACTCACTGCCGCCTGTTCCACTCTGCTGGTGTTTTCACCGTTCATCGCTGGTTGGCGATCTGGTTGGGCGGCAGTGGTCGGCGGGGGTGAAACCACCAGCCTCTCAATGGGCTCATTGGCTGTTCTGTCTGTCACAATGAGGTAATTCGGCTCAGGCTGGAGAGCGCTGGAGCGGCGCTGCAGTGCATGCTGGGTACATGAGAAAGAGCGCTGCCGGGGGGCTGGCTGGGGAGAGAGGAAGTGAGGTGTAGTGGCTCGGGGGTTTTCGTGATGCCGGTCACGATCCTCGTCTTCTGATGTCACCTCCTGTAAGGTACTGATTGGCCGAGGGGAACGACCCATGATTCTTGGAGGAACGAGCGCCGTGGCTGATTGGTTGAGCTGGGGTCTCCAGTTCTGGGGCGGTGGGTACTGCATTCGACCCATTGACCAATCACTGGCAATGAAGAAAATCATGAAAACATGATCAAACTGATGAAGGCATCAAAGAATTATGGTGAACAACTTAAATTAAGAAAAACAGAATGCTTAATTGATCTCCATTGTATGACTGAAAGCATATCGAAATATAAGGGTTATATATCAATCGATATTGATCATTTTTTATTTGTTTTTCCTCTCGAGCTGTTGTAATCATTCTCTCCTTTCACTCCACCTCATCATTTTCATTCTGAAGCAGCTATGAGGCGCCGAAACACGAAACTGCTGCTGCGCAAGTTACTCAACAGGTTGTTGCTAGGTAACCAAAGAGAGAGTGAGTTAGTCAATGCAACCAACCTGAACCTTGCTTTGCTGACCATTAGTGATCATTTGTAATCACTAAATTGTTTGGTTAGTCTATCAAAATAATGATGTGTGTTTGAGTCAAATTTCTGAAAGCTTACTTCTGAGGTGGTGAGGTCATGTCTCGATGGGCTATCATCCCAGAGAATGAGGCACTTCTTCCAGGGAGACCCTGAGAACTGACCCACGGCGAGTACATTAGAGCACGCTCCTCCCACATCACATCGTTGGCAGTGTTAACAGGAACAGGTCCTCTCTGGATCTGGTGGGCCAGCAAGAGCTCCAGGACCTGATGGTGCATGGCCTCTCTGGCCACATCGATTGGACGACGGCCCCTCCGGTCATGCAGCTCCAGGTTGGCTCCATGAAGCAGGAGAAGCCTGGAAGTGTCATAACAGCCATGGAGGGAGGAGAGGAAGAGCGCTGTCTCACCCTAACAGAAAAAAATATATATAATTATACAAGCAACAGTACTCAAAATCATTTATTACATATAATCTTTTGATTATAAAACTCTAAACTGATACAGTGCCTTTCAAAAACATTTATACCCCTTCAACTTTCAGGCATTCTAACAACTTACAGCCACAAACCAAAGCAAACTGGTTGCACTGAATGTTACTTAGGGGTAGCTAACTAAAGTGGAATATAATTAAAATCAATATTGAAACACATTTTCAAAAGAATTTACACAAAAAATGCTCAAATGTTTGTCCCATTCCTCATTTGTCCTCTACTTTGCATTGGTGTGAAACAAATCCCCACAAAAATATATTAAAGTTTGCAGCTATCACATAAAAAATGTGCAAAGGTTTAACAGGTGGGAATTATTTCCAGGACAATCTCTGGATAATAAAGCTTAGTCACGCACCTTGTTGTCTTGTAGGTCCACAGCGGCTCCGTAACGAATGAGGGTCCTTGCTAGGGAGAGGTGATTTACTGAGCATGCCCAGTGTAGGGCTGATCTCCCTGAGAGACAAGTGTGAGTGGAGGGGAGGTGAGGGAGTAAGTCAGCCAGTGAACAACCATTACACAACAGAGTTAAGCCCAGATGGTAAGGAGATGGGGGATGAAGAGGGAGGACACCTCTAATTAGGGGAGGAAGGGGGCGATGAGACAGGAGGACAGAGGGTTGAAGACAAAGAAAAGGACAGAAGAGCTGAAGCAAGGAGAAAGATGAACCACAAAGCTAATATGTCCATCAACACAAGAATATTAACTTTGCTCTGAGTCAGAAGAAGAGAGGAGGGGAGCTGGAGAAGGACAGGTAAGAGGGACAGAAGGGACACAAAAAGAGGATGTGAGAGAGACGGGGTAAGTCACAAGTTACTCGACCCCCTCAGTGTCAGAAAAAGATGATTGTGAATAAACTCTCTAAATGAGGACTGGGGGCTGAGGTACATTATCAAGTCCCAGACTAACTAGTGATGTCGTCACAGGAAGCATTACCAGTATGATCTGTGTTGTTCACTGGAACTCCAGCTTGCAACAGCTCCAGAACCACTCTGTCCAGCCCGCTGCGCACAGCTCGGATCAGAACCACAGACCCATCTGGACCACACCACTCTGCTGACTGCCAACAGAACATTACTAGGATAAACGTTTGACTTCACCCACAAAACACATTTGGTTTGTAGCTTAACTACTTGTAATGACTGACCTGCTGAGGGGGACTGAGCAAAGGAGGAGGCATGGCATTCCTTTCCCATCCTCTAGGTGGAGCTGTTTAAAAGAAAGTTCAGAATGAGTGATTCCAAATTCAAATGGCAAAAGTAAAAGGCATGTGAATCTTAAAAACAACATTTTCTCTTATTTAAATAGCTTTATGCAAGCTTTATGATTACTGTAGGGACTGTGTGTGTACTACATTTTGCAAAGAAGTGTTTACATTTTATATATTTATAAATTTACAGTCAGTGATGAGAAATTATACTGTTATACTCATTCAGGGCATAAACTTTGGGCTAAATTCATCCTCAAGTGTAAAAAAAATTACACAACACATATATTCTAATTTAAAATCAAGAATGAAGCAAAAGTGGAAAACATTTAGGACAGTTTTGAATCCTTCTGGCAAATTCGCTACTAGATCAGAGGAAGGGGTGATTGTGTTATTGTCAGTTCTACGAAATGACAAAAAACAAAAACACGACAATAACTTCACTCTAGGTGCTGTAGATTTTAGCTATCATGTTGAATCTTAAAGTTATTGTCAAGACAGTTAGCAAAACATTCCAGGAGAAGTTGTGTTCTTTCTAAAACAAATATGACAGATTACGTTGTATTGGCCTGCGGGTTTGACCGGCACCAGGCCGAAAGTGTCTCTGGTCCGCGGTCCTGTGGTCACAGATAGAGGGGTCCTCCTGTCGCCTGGAGCATCTTATGTTGATGTCCTCCATTGAGCTTTGGGTAAAATCTGTGTCACTTCCTGGCTCTTGGTCCCTTTTCAAAGGCCTGTAAGCCAAGATAGTATTATGAAATCATATGTTTCCAATATATTCTGTTACAATTTGTTTGTTAGTTTTCCTTTTTCCCCATTTTTTTATCCGGAAGTGTCCAGGGAGCTCTGCAGCACATGTACAGTAGATTCCTGGGTTGTTATGTTGATTTTGGGAAACATAAACATCTAACAACTATAGGGACAAATTACCATAAGAGTAAATACAACGATCTTAATCTTTCTTTAGAAGACATTTTTAAATACTGGTGTGCATTCGAAAACTCTTTAATCATATTTTGAGCTCTTCTATTTGCCTTGATTATTGACTATTTGTCTAAATGCTCTTTGAGATCAGTACTGTAGTTTTTAATTGAACTGATCCTAAGAAAATAAAAGGTACAATTATGGCTCCATTGAAAAAAATGTTATAGTACGTTAAATGACACTTGTCTTAAATCTAGATTTTTCATTAAAATAAAGCTTTTCTTTCTTTCCAATCCATCCATCCAATTCAATAATATTAATTAAAAGAATTTGTCAACTTTGTTGTTATGTTCACTGTTTTGCTGTTCTTATTTTGTGCTAAACAATGCCATCTAGTGGTCATTCTTATTATCAAAAAGCAGTAGAAGTAGCATAGTTGCAGCAACATTGCAGTTCCTCAGCTCTGCTTATATTGTTTTCTTGCCTGCTAAGGCGTCATCTGTAAGTATAATAAGTTGAATTAAATATATATGAGAATAGTTATCGCAGACATCTTCATTTGTAGATAATTATGGTAGTAGTAAACTCGGCTTGTTGCTAAGCTAACTCAGACCTCTAGTCTGTGTATAAAAATGGTGTGTGCAGTGATTTTGACGTTTTTACTGCGCCAATGATACTTATATGTATTCCTTTGTTTATCCTGTTACAGTTTCACAAAAAATTGATGTCAGTAAATTCTCCAAGATGTCAACCCTGAGTCTGTGGAGTTTCTGCGTTCATTCTGTTTAGCTGTTTGGATAGCTAGTATCATTTGGCTGGTGAGGCCACTTGTGGTTGAGTGATTATTAATAATTGTCATATGGCTCTATTAAACAGTGGGCTAACAGGATAAAATTCTACAAAATAATAAATCAACACAAGCAAGTTGATTTATTTATATATATGACCATATCCTAATTCCACCGTAAACAATTAATCTTAATGTGGAGGAGCATTGACTGTTCTCTTGGCTACCCCAGATGATGGAGCTCCTCCAGCGGACACTAACTTTAGCTCAACAAAACACATCTATAGGAGAATCAAACTTCATTGACTCCTACTGAAACTCTGAGGATGAACAGTCAATCTCACCATTCTTTGTTGCATTAAAAAGAAACCATCTGAGAGAAACTGAGATATGATATTAGTTAAGACACCTATCAGTTAATTCCACATATCTAGTATCCCAAATAAATCATGCAATGAGCAGTGTACGTACTCTCTAAGTCACATCTTAGTGCTTTGCTGTATTTCTTAAAATTCTGTAAAACTCTGAATTTAATGTGAAATAAATATATACATTTAGAACACCATTTCTAAATGTGTTCTAAAATGAGAAGCTTTGACAATCAAAAATAAAATTTAGCCACGATCATAAGAAAGCAGAGGACAAATGTTTTAGTTACACAGCTTTTTCAGACCACTTCACAATCTTTAGGAGCAGCAACACTTACCGCATTCGTATGGCATCCTCCCCTAACGGTTCCCTCCTCCTCTTTTTCTCTGCTTCCTTGTATTTCTTTTTCTTCCGAAGGCTAATTTTGTCTTTCTCTTTGTTATATCGAACTCGTTGCTCTTGGTGTGGTGTGTGTTGCATCCAGGCCTTGGATTTGCTGCTGTCATCATCGTTAGCGACTTTAGACCGATGTCTCACCCTAACACTGCCGTTGTTCTCTGATCGCTGCAATCTCATCTTCCTCATCACCAGAAAGACCACCAGAGGAATCAAAATCAGAAGTCCAACTGCAATGGCAGCCACAGCCCAAATCCAGGCAGGGGTTTGCTCTTTGAATGAAATAATGGAAACATTAAGATATACAAGTAGATAAAAGTAGCATCAGTTATCTAAGATAATTTTACCTCTGATGAAAGGAGCATTTAAACTAAAAATTTGGTTTAATAATTTAAGCTTAATTTATTTCTACAATTTATTTATACCTCTACTTTATGAAGACATTGAAAATCATCTTTGTGTGCCGATACCTTTTTTTATTCGATCGTGAATACAATTCAAAGAAACTCACACCCCAGTCTGCACACCAGGAAAACAAAGCAGTTTTACATTGTTTTGATTGGCTACATTTGGAATATGGAAGTGTGTGTGAGCGTGTGTGTAGGTGACGGGAAACAAGAGCCTACCTTCAACTTCCACTTGCTCCTCTCTGCTCCCTATTTCCTCTTGGACACCTCTGACGCCGATAATGACTTGCAGCTCCTGCAGCATTGGGAACGTCGAAGGCTTTGACATTATCACTGCATGTAGGAAACTGCCGGCTTCCGTAGCGTACGGGAAACAGGTAGAAGGTGACCTGGAGCAAGGCCTGTTGTCGACTTGTAGGAACAGGAGGGAACTACAGAGGAGACAGGAGAAATTTGGTACAAAAGAGCAGGTACCTCTTAAATGTTATACCTTTCCTGCGCTTAACGAAGATCCCCAAGGTGTTGTGTTTGCCACCCTCAGTTTTACATGTTTGCTCAGTTTAGATTGTCTTGATAAATGATTGATGTAGTCCACCTCACTCCACTAGGAGTGACCCACAGTCATGTACTTCATTTGATTAGTGATAATAAAGTATTTCTCATATAGCTGTGGACCAACTTCGCTTGTTGTATTTTGAAGTCAATACAACTAATCTTTTTGGTTGAATTGGATTAAGTATTTAACCCTACCATACTCTAATTAATTAATAATTATCCAGGTTTCTGCACATTTTTAAGTTAACCAAGGTAGCAATACAATTGAATTTAAGCCTAATTACTTTGAAGATGCAATAGCTTTGGACACAACTCTCTTGTTGCTGCTGTAAATTTGAACCAAATTATCTTAAATATTTAACTAATAGTTACTTCTTAATTTAGCTTTTCTTGTCGTTTCTGCTTGTTTGGTTTTTAAATTATACAGAGATATGTGTTGATTGCACCATGAAAAAGCTTAAGGTTGCCCTACTTGGATTAATGGAGATCTTCAAGGCAGTCCAGTTACATTTTATGTGTTATTATATAGGAACTGAAACCATTTTTTTATGTATATAAAATGTTTGGGTTTTTTTTTAGGCAGAGTCTTGCCCAAATGCTTAATTTTTAATGCATAATCTGTCATCTAACATATATCACTTACTGTTTCATTAAGCTTACTTTACATCACTAACTTTGTCTTTAATATTATTACTGCTAAAATAAGAAAATGATGTGGTCTCATATCCCACACGTATTACCTACCCATTAGAGTCTGTTGGTGAAGAGTGAGCCAGCATGTCAGCAAACTTCTGAGGGTAAATATCAAACAAGTTCAAGTTTGCTGCAAGCGAAATGTTTCCCCTCAGTTTGAGGGGTGACTGCAGGATGACGCTGAGTGTCCAGAGTAGAGGAGTGACAGCAAGGGAGAGATTTTGCTTTGGGATTTTGGTGTGAAGAAGCAGGGTGCCTTTGGCCCACAGAGGGCTCTGCTCTCTGAAGCAGTCACTTCCATCCCATCCACAGGCAGCGTTGTTGCAGCCCTGGTCACAGCGATTGCTGGCATAATAAGCTCGACAATACTGAGTGTGTCCCGGACTGAGAGATGTGATGAATTGGGAACAAATGGGTGAGAAGAAAAGACAAATTAGTGACAGAAATAATAGCATCATAATAATAAAGTGTTTAAGCACACCCTCTAATTTTACACATATCTGTACCAGGTCGTATGTAAAATAAATCCTCCAGGTAATGTTTTTTCATCATCTGCTGATATATAACATATTAATAATAGAAGAGGGGATGCTTATTTTGCACCACTAAAATCCACCCTATTAAGCTAAAAGGGTTTCCATAATTTACAGTTCAAAAAGTTAATTTAGTCACAAAGGTTTTTTTACTTGCAGTGACCCCGATTCTTCAGGCAGTCAAATCCGTCTCGAAGGCAACGTGACTCCATGCATTCTCGGTTACATGTCCCATCTCCAAACTTCTCTTTGCAATTGTTCTCGCGACACTGGTCCCATGGATCACTGGAGCCAGCTGCTGAAACAGTTACTGATTAGGATGAATGATAAAGCTGACACAAACAGCAAGAGGGTTGTGGAAATAAACCTCTCATACATCAGTTTACTCAGTTTCCAAAAAAGACAAACTGGTTTTATGTTGTATTTAATTGCATCCTGCAGCTAATTTCTTTAACAGAAGGATACAAAGCAGACTGATCTATCTGAAAACAACATACATGTACACTAGCAGGGCGTAATATTATGACTGCCCTCCTTTCAGTTGATGATCTTTTTGCTATTAAAACAATCGTGTCCTTTTGAGGCGTGGATTTTTTTAGACCCCTGATTGTGTGTTGTGGTATCTGACACCAAAATGTTAGCAGCAGTCAAGTGGCGGTCCTTTATGAATCAATCCACAGATTCTTGATTGGATTAATATATGAGGAATTTGCAGGCTAAATCAACACCTCTTGGTTGTTCCCTCATTCCTGAACCATTTTTACTCTATGGCTGTGGGCATTATCCTGCTGGAAGAGGTCAAAGACACTAGAATATGTGTATACCCTTTAACAGAAGCTTTACATGGTGTGCAACAATGATTAAAAATGTGGTATTTATTAAGCTAGAATCTATATGGATTCCAAGTAGAACATTGTTAAAACATCACACTGCCTCCACTTGCTTGCCATCTTCTAAGTGAACACCACACATTCACTCGGATGCAATTCCAAAACATGATCTATCAGACCAGAACATGACCCAGTTGTGAGTTCATGTGTCCAAATGTTGTTTTTGGGAGTGAGCAGGGGTCAGCATGCACTCTGAGAGACCCACAACTATACAGACCAAAGGGCTACACTGTTTCTGACAACAGTTCACCATGGTTGCTTCCCCGGATTGATTTTGATAGAATTTAATCACTACAAACCAGAAACACACCACAGTCACATCAGATTTGGATATTGTCTAACCAAACTGTCTAGCAGGCACAATTTGGCCTTGGCAAACTCTCTCAAATCCTTAGTTTGGTACATTTTTTAAATCATTTTGCTGATCATTTTAAGGGCAAAGAGGTCATGATGTTATGCCCATTTAGTGCATTTCTGAATGAATAACCTGGAGAAAACAATACCCCCACATTCACACCTAACTGAGCAAATATAAATTAACCCAGACAACTGGGGCGGGGTTAATGTATTTGTGTATATAACCTTCGCTTTTCAAACCAAAGTGTTTTTATCAGATGGCTGGTTCTCCCATGCATTCAACTACTTATTGTTTCAAGCCATCAGCAACTATTCACCACAATGCAGGTCAAGCCACGCAAGGTGGGTCGCAATACAGTCAGCTAAAGGGGACAGGAAATGGGCCCGACATAAACAGGAAGTTTCCAGAAGGAGCGAATAGCCAAAGGAAACGGAGTGGGCTGGGAACTTGATAAAGGTTGAAGGTTGTCACCAAGGCAATGTGGAATGTGATGGAGTTGGACAATGGGCTTGGCAGGTGTTAGCAAGACCATAAAGGGAAAAGAGCCCGTTGACAATAGAGCTGAAATTAGATGACTACTTCACTATGATTCATTTGACCAGTAAAATGTCTATCAGTGATACAAAAAGAATTAAATACTAGCCCTCATTTTTATGTAAATACACATTTAAAGAATCTTAGAAAACCTGTTACAGATTGCAAAGCCAAAATATTCACTTAAACTTTAGCAGAACAGTAATAGCAGTTAAAATGAGAATCAGTTTTTTACGCAGTAAATGCAAATTTTCCTAGACTTTTATTTGAGGACCTCCAGCCATGTGAACAGGAAAACAGAGAGCTGCTACATTAAAATATGATTTAATGAAATATTTAGCCAAACTCACCTTGAGACGTGCAACTCAATCCCAACAGGACAAACATCCTGAGACTCAGCATGTTCACGTCACGTTCTTCTGTAAACCTGCGTTTGAAAGATCTTCTAATCTATCCCTGATCCATCACATCAAGAACATCTTGAGGTCTTGCTGCTCGCACTAAGCGAAGTCACCAAATGTCATCACTGCTACATCAGCCACCCTGCTCACTCTATTCGCTCACTCCTTTTTTTTTTCAGAGGCCCTGCGGATATCTGGACAACTTCCTGCCACTGTGTGCAGAAGAATAGGAAGGGCGCTAACCCCTGTGTGCCTCTGTGTGTGTTTTTGCAGTAATGTGGCTGGAGAACTGCTAGGAGGGCTATTTCTTCATGTCGTGAGGACGCAGCGTGGTTTGAGTTTGATTTTTGAATCTAAACACACACACACATATCCAGAAATAATGACCATGCCCTTTCTGTAAGATAAATCAGTAAATGTTGTCAGATATGCCACAAATGTCTGATCTCATTTTGATTCTTGAAAAAAATTAAATGACTATGGAATGAAGAAAAATGTCAACCTTTTTTCCAGTCCTTCCAGTGTTGTCTAAAATTTTGAACTATTTGGATTTATTTAATTTCAACAACAAATGGTTGATTACAGCCGGACTCTTAGAGCACATTGCGAATGTTTTGTGATCCCTTTCACATTTTGTTGCATTACAGCCACAAGCATAGTGTATCCTGTTTGTATTTTATATGACACACTGCTACAAAGTAAAAGGAAATTCAGACATTTTTTTTTCATTTATTTCTAAATCTTATTCTGACAAGTGTGGAGTGCCTGTATGTATTCAACCCTTCTGAGTTGATGGAACCAGCTTTCAATACATGTTTTATAATCAAAGAAAGCCACACTTCTTTGTGTTATATTTTGAAAAAAAATAGCTTTATTTTTCCACCATGGACAAAGGTGCCAACCCCCCTGCAACCCTGCAGCTCTGTAAGATGGGATATTGGAGGACCTGTACATTTCTGATCCAAAGACACAAAACAGCAGAGAAACTGGCTCCCTGTTTTTTTTTCAGTCAATCTTTAGATTTATAGCTTTAGTTTTTGATTAAGCTCACAGTGTGAATTATCTGTATTCTGCACAGTCTTCTATTTTTCCTTGTTAATGTGTTTTTATGAATTACAGCCCCATCCACATTTATTGACACCCCAGGAAAAATGCAGTTTTAAAGCCTCAAAATAGATCAACCATTTAATGCTCTAGTAGTTGAATCTCACCTTCAATGTTTTTTGAAAATACAATCTTTAATTTAAGTACATTGATTCAATGACAAAAAAGGACCAATTGTTTTTGTTAGTTTTTTTTATTTTTTATTTTTTTCAATAGAACCAATAATGTAGACTCTTATTTGAAACTGTAAAATTTGTCATTGAGGCATTTTTTTATTTATACTTGATCAGAGTCTGTTAAGCAACAAAGCTTTGGTTCTATCGCACAAATTCTGGTGTAGTTCTTCTAAGGTTTGCATTTGATTTCTCCTGTAATGTATGAAGATCCAAACAGGGCTAGCTCATTCATTTCTCCAAAATCTCCTATTTCGTTAATGTTTCTTTAATCTTTTTTTTTTTTTTTTTCCAGCTTTTGTATTTCTTTACAAATTCTTAAATCCAAAACATTTTATTGGGGTTGCATGTTGCTGCAGTTGGCCATACTATTATCTTACAGCAAGAAGGTATTGGGTTCAAATCCCAACCTGGGGTCTTTCAGGATGAAGTCTGGATTTTCTTCACATCCATACTTTTCCCCCAAGTATTCTGGCTTTCTCCTGCATCCCAAAAACAAGCTAGTTGACATCTCTGAACCATAACTTATTTATTTATTTTTATTTACTCTGTTTTGAACATGATAGAAGTATAAAATCACACACATGAACAAGAAATGCAAAAGATACATATTTTTGGACTAAAATAATCTTAACATGTTCGCGTGTTAAGATTATTTAACAGCTGGAAGAAGTAAGGAACTTATGAACTCCCTTCCCTCTGTGTTTAATAAAGAATTCCAGTTGTAAAATAGTACAATGTCCCTTTTCTGTTATTTTTCCAACAAACAGCACGTCAAACCCAAACACAACGGATGAGGTGATTTATAGGTAACAAGAAAAGGAGCTTAAAATAGTACTACCATTTACCACTTTACTTCTGCCATCCTTCAAACACGAAAGAAGGGGAAATAAGGAAGGAAGCTGTCAAAGTTCAAAGTGTTTTAGGGATCCAGATGACAAAAACAGCATGAGCCAGACTGGAAGAAAAGCAAAGCAGCTGTCACTTAGATAGGTGACAATTTTAGGACATCCTGTAGTCTCAAACTTGCCATCTTCTCTGTATGGTAAGAAATGCTAGAAACAGAACATGTAAAAAAAAAATGTAACAGAACAAACAAAAACAACAAAAAGCATTTCATAGAAGCAATAACTTCAGAGTCTGTAACTTCAGATTATATTGTGCTCACACTGACTTTTTGCAAAGGTGTGTACTAACTAATTATGTTTATGCAGTTACATCTACTTGAGTGATATTACTGTAAAGTACAGCTACTCTTACTTGAGTAAAAGTTGTGGATAGTCTGCTGAGCCTGTTGCACTACGTGGAGGTCAAAAATAGTAAAAGGGAATAATTTTCTTCTACTTGAACTTCTTACTTTGCAATTGTGTTTTTCCAATTTTTTCTTCATCTTAGTCTTTAAAGTCTTATGATCAGTTTTGAGTCATCTCTTGGTCGGATACTTTATACTTGAATAAAATAGATTGAATTGGTGCTGCTTACTCTTACTGGAGTTTTGGGGTACGCAACCCACCAGGGATGTAGTGAAGCCGTCAAGCCTCAACGAACCAGGGAAGGGGAACCAAAACATTAAGGCGGAAATTAACTCAAGTGATAACGTTAAAGTGCAGTTTGAGAAAGTTACCACATGGGGTCACTGTTGGGCTATTTGCGACAACCTAAACGTCTTGCATCAATGAGGTAACGTAATACACTTTTATTTATTGCATTGAAAAGAATACCTTATTCTCCTGAAGCCAGTAGTTTGTAAATAACACATATTAGTTGGGCTTTACTGTTTGGCAGACTTGCAGGGGACTTTCCGATATAGAGGTATAAATAGTTGGTTTCAGTTTCACTCTTATCAGATCGATTGGCTCATACACGTTCCTGACGGCCTGTCGGGGTCAGAAGCGTTACAGTTTATTTTGGACACTTCAAGTTTACTATTGGAGTCTGTCGAGTCTCTGAGGCAGCAAACTCACCTTGTGGAGAGGAATTCAAGTAAGTCCGCTGGGTTTCGGCGTAGTAACATTAGCTTACCAGCGTTAGCTACCAGTGTAGCTCGCATATTCACGGTTTGTCTGAAGTAAATTATGGTATTCATCATGGGAGTTTGAGTTGTGTTGTTCGTATCATCCTGACCTGTGCCGCATTTGAAGTTGAACAGTGTTGCAGAAAGATGTAGATAAAAACGAAAGTAAAAAAAAAAAAAGCAATTTATTGGTCAAAGTGAAAGTAAAAGCATCTCTGCGAAAAGGAGTTCTTGTTTTGTGTCTTCATATTCACAAGCTATATTTAATTGGCATTGTATGTGACACAAACTAATGTGTAATTATCAAGTGGAACACCCTTTACTTCGACACCCCTAAATAAAATACAGAGCAACAAATTGCCTTGAATTGATACCTAACTGGGAATATTCCACCTGTTTGTAAATTAATCTGACCTGCAGAGGTCAGAGGTTTGTTACAGAATATTGGAGACCAAACAGCGTAATGAAGACTATAATCTGGTCAGGAATAAGGTGTAGAAGTTCAAAGTATTAAAACAATACCCCGAAATTTAACATCTCACTGAATTGTTCAGTCATTGATTGATATTGTATTGATACTTTTGGTCTTGACTAGTTCCTTTCCTTTATCAAGCGACTCACCTGATTAAAATCTGACTAAACATATCTTTTGATTTGTTTTCACAAGACGGGCTTCACACAGATATATCTGACTGCTTTAATATACATCCTATTATTTTGTCTTAACCAATATTGTTTCCTCAAATGAGTGAAACTGTCTATAAAAGTGACATTTCTGCAAGGTGAGGATTGGAATCAAAATACTTTTCTTATTCAGTCTACTGTGTATGTTTTTTAGCTGATCCTGTCTCTCTCTCTCTCTGTTTATTTTTGCAGTATCTACGCGTAATGCAGAAAATGAGCTACTTCTTCCCCCTGGTTTGCATTTGCATGGACGTGTGCGCTGTGCACGCCATTCGTCTAGCACAGCTCTCACCTCTCCTCCTCTCCCATCCTTTCATCACCTTGTGGGGGGGAGCTCTGACCAGGGCCTTCATCCTGGGTTTTCTTGCCTTCACTTACCCCGGAGGCCTCCCATGGGTGAGAAGCTTTGAGGGACTTCAAAGCATCGCCATCCTTTGCTTCCACTTTCCGGTGTACATTGCTCTCCTTTGGCAACTGGGCCAGTCCACTGTTGAAGAACTGTGGGGATGGCACTCCTGGGAACGGGTGAGTGGGTCCGATTGTTGTTTTTTTGTCCAGTGTGTATAATAATGTGGTGACTGGTATAAATAAAAAAAGAGTTTGGTTTTTGAACATTTCCCAAAGACTATAATATGATGTTCCAAAGCTTTCTTGCATTAAAAAGGCAAGAAAGCTTTTATTATGCACAATATATTGTGAATTTTTTAACATCACAATATCACTGTGTTCAATATTCATATCACAAATGATTCTTTACAGTGCAAAAATTATTGGATAATAGTATTATAAATTTATTTTTACATGCTGATGGGACCTTTAGCATTTCCCAAAATGCTGAAGGTCTCAGAATGACAGAAGCAAGAATAAGAAAGAAAGGAAAGAAGAAAATAAGTGTATATTGAAAGTGATATGGACATTGCATTACTTAATATTATTACTGCCATTGCAGGATTTTCTACGATCCTGCATCCTTAGGAACTATTTTCTTCTTTCGTTTAATTTAACCACCATGGTTGCCATCATCAAATAATTTTTATAGCCATGTACTTAAACTGTGTTGAGTTTGTCCCTCAGTGTAGTGTTTTCATGAATTATAGATATGAATTTAAGAGGAAGTGCTCAAATCTTATGTGAAAACTGTTTTAGATTCTATTCCTATATATTTTGCTCTGGTTACCATTTGGACCAATTGACTTGTTTGAAATATGACAGATTAGGTCTATGGGTAAACCCGTTGCAGGTTCCTAGCCAATCATCAATTTTTCATAAACCTGACCTGAATATTTCAATATCAATTTTTT